AGGTTGTTATCTGCCTATCGGACAAACCCAGCCCAATCCTTAGCATGACAAATAAGTTCCTTCTGTTACTCCTCTGCCATATACTCAAGACTCAGCCTTACTGTGACACCTGCCATCTTCCAAATGGACCGCACCCTTTGGCAGTTCTGCACCTTTGTATGACCAGGCCCACCATGACGTCATGCCTAATTTTCTCTGCTCAGGTCTCACTCAACTCAGGTTCTGCTCAAACCTGACTTTCACATGCATCTTCCGAGCGTCCCAGGCAGGCAGCTAGCTGCTCCCTACTCTGAGCTCCCACGATGCTTTACGATGTCCTTGGCGTTGAATGGACCATATTGGCGAGCCCTTTCTTCCTAGGTTGTCGCCTTACCAAGGGTAGATGCAAGACATATTTCTCTTTGATAGCGCCTATGTTTCGCCCAGTAGCTGGATACAGTGGGTGCTCAGTGTCTGGTAAATGAATACGCATCAGGCCAGCCAGTGGTGTGGTTGCTGGGGCAGCTGATCCCACAGAGCCGACAGTACAGCTGGAGCCCCAGACCCAGCAGCTTGAAAAACACCCAGGCACGTAAGCATACGTGTCTAAAATCCTGAGAGAACAAGGGACTGTGGCATGGCCATCCCCTGGAGGGTACTCTCTCTCTTCCCCTGACAACCACACATACCCAGCAAATTCAAAATAAATAAAATAGCCCCAGGAGCACATCCGCAGCAAGTGACCCCATAGCCGAGGCCAGACAGCCTCCAGGCTCCTACATGGCTACTTTATAGATGTCCTTTTCGATGTCATTAGTCTACATTAAAAAAAAAATAAACATGTTGGGGGCCGGCAAGTGGCATGGTGGTTAAGGGCACTGGACTCCTACATGGCTGACCACAGTTCAAGTCTTGGACCCGGTCGCTTGCTTTCTCACTTCCTCTCTCTCTCTCTCTGTCTCTGATCAAACTGGAAAATAATAATGATAATAATAAATAAAGTTAAATAAAATAATTCTTTAAAAAAATGTAATATCACCTCTGAATTACTATGCCATTTTTCAAATCCAAAGCAACTCACTGCCTATCAGGACCCTTTATAAAAATGATGTATACTTCTTATAAAAGAATTAATTTTATTCATTGTCATTATTTTATTTTATGTCATTGAAGTTGACCATAGAGAGACAGAAGGAAAGTCCTGCCAGGGCCAGGACTGAGCTGTGGCAGTCATGTGGGACTCTAGCCGCCCCAACCACCGTGCCACCTGCCAGCCCCGAAATGATGTATACATTTTAAAATGTATGAATTTTTTTCCATGAGGGGGATGAGTGGGGGGTGCGCCTTCAAATGGGTCTTGATGCTGTGAGCCACCCCCAGGCTCAGCCAGCTCTGGAGCACGGGCACACACGTGCCCTAGTGTCCTCAGAGATCTCCAGACATGGGTCTGGAACCTTTCCAGGAGGTTGGCCCGGTAGTGCTGTATTTGACCACTTCGTACTTAGTCTTCTCTGTCTTCAGTGATCACACACTTTCGGGCTGGGACAGCCGCGGAAGCCAGTCTGCAGTCACGGATCCACAGAAGCTAGCTGGCCACAGAGATCCCATCGGGCACGGCAGAAATGAGAATTCAATTCATAGCCAAATAGAAGAGACAGCCGTTCTTCACAGGAGGCGGAGGTTCCCGAGAGCTCCTGGGCAGAGCTCCTGGGCCTCGTCTGACACTTACACAGTGAGCTGCTGACCTAAACGGTTACGCCTTCCCTCCAGGCGTCTGACAGGCTTTAGTCTGGAAGTTGATGGGAGAGATCTTTTACTGCTTTTCCCAGCTCAAAGAAAAAATGGTTCTTCAGATTTCCCAATTAAATTCCATGGATTTTGTTTTTAATAGCTATTGCCACTAAAAATTGAAGATTCAAAATAACTCCTCTATATTTTCTGTCAATACACAACTTTTTTTTTTGAGGCTTTTGCTACAAGGCGCGTGCACTCACCAGAAAGACAGACAGAAAGTGAGAAATCACCCCCCGGGGGGATGGCCACGCTGCAACCCCTTCTCCTCCACTCTCCTCTCGGGAATGCAGGGACTCGAACTGTGGTCAACTACATGGGAGTCCAGCGACGTACCCATTATGCCAACTGCTGGTCCCTCAATACACATGTTTTTAAGTGCCACTTGGGGCCAGCAGGTTGTGTGGAGGTTAGGGCGCTGGACCCTCACATGGCCAACTACGATTTAAGTCCTGGACCTGGCAGCTTGCTTTCTCTTTCCTTCTCTCTCTCTATGGTGACCTATAGCAAATTATATTATAATAATAATAATAATAGATAAAATTAAATAAATCTAGAAAGAAAAAGAGAAGTCCCACCCAGCTACAGTGGTATAGGCAGGGGAGTGTGGCTGCATCACACCGGAGCCACACAGGACTCAGGTTCAGATCCTGATCACATCAGGGGTGCCCGTGATCCTGGTTGGCTGGGCAGTTCTGAGGACAGTGGAATGGGGAGACCCTGACAGTGGTACCTTTCTCTCATAAAGGAACATATTTCAAAAAAGGGTGGGCCGCTCCATGGCACAGTAATAAAGCTCTGCTCAAGAGAAGCCAGATCCTACATGGCAGCTGCGGTTCACATCCCTGGCCTGGTCAGCCCAAAACATGGCAGATACACACACAAGTGCCCCAGATCCAGTGGGCTGGAAGACTGGAGGGAGATCGCTATGTGACTACAGCCTGTGGAGGTGCCTCCTCTCTCACGTGCACATGCTCTATCGTGAATAAAGGAAGAAAAGTCACTTTAAAAAGCACTATATTGGGACCAGCAGTTGGCGTAATGGCTATGTTGCTGAACTTCCATGTAGTCAACCACGGTTCGAGGCCCAGACTCGGTGGGTTAAACTCACGCCAGGCATGGCTGCATCACACCGGAGCCACGCAGGACTCAGGTTCAGATCCTGATCACATCAGGGGTGCCCGTGATCCTGGTTGGCTGGGCAGTTCTGAGGACAGTGGAATGGGGAGACCCTGACAGTGGTACCTTTCTCTCATAAAGGAACATATTTCAAAAAAGGGTGGGCCGCTCCATGGCACAGTAATAAAGCTCTGCTCAAGAGAAGCCAGATCCTACATGGCAGCTGCGGGTCACATCCCTGGCCTGGTCAGCCCAAAACATGGCAGATACACACACAAGTGCCCCAGATCCAGTGGGCTGGAAGACTGGAGGGAGATCGCTATGTGACTACAGCCTGTGGAGGTGCCTCCTCTCTCACGTGCACATGCTCTATCGTGAATAAAGGAAGAAAAGTCACTTTAAAAAGCACTATATTGGGACCAGCAGTTGGCGTAATGGCTATGTTGCTGAACTTCCATGTAGTCAACCACGGTTCGAGTCCCAGACTCGGTGGCTTAAACTCACGCCAGGCACATGTGTGTGTGTGCCCAAGATCCCGAGAGGGGAATGGAGGAGAAGGGATTGTGGCATGGTCATCCCCCCTGGGGGGTGATTTCTCGCTTTCTGTCTCTGTCTCTTTCTGTCTTTCTGGAGAGCACATGCACCCTACAGCAAAAAATAAAATAAAAAAAATAAAAGAAGCGCTATAAGAGGATCTTTAATATTACAGTAAAAAAATTGTCAGCAGTGACCTACATGCTAGATTTTCACTGAGCTGAGCACACAGTCTGCTTTGGGGCCTGAGGTCTGCTTGGCCAGAACCAAAGGGCGCCAGGTCACAGGCACTTGTACACGTCTGACTGGTCTGTTATGAGGACTGGGATACATCACTAACGACAACTCAGTTCCAGAAGCTCCCTGTTGGCCAACTGCTCAAGCAAGGAAAGGCCACCCCAGGGTGAGACTGGGCCAGCCGGCCACCCAGCAGGCGGGGTGGCTGAGCAGGTGGCCAGAGGAAGTGCCCTTGCAGCTGCAGCCTCTCTGTGGACACGTTCGCTATAGCTCCAACGAGACTTCTGTGCTGACGCCTATCAAAATACACCATGTACAGAGAATGGCGATATCGGTACGTTTCCAAGTATTCAGTCAAGTCAGAGACCAAATCTGAAACACTGAGAGGTGACGCAGAGATTCCCCTGCATCTTTGGGCCGAGATGTTGGAGGTGGCACAGCTCCCCGCGAGGGCCTGCCCTGATGGCTCGGCGCAGCTCGGATGGCTGGGGAGCTGACGCGTGTGGAGTGTTTAAAAACAAAGGTCACGTACATCACATTTAGGAGAAGGGAGAGAAAAACGCAGAAATGACAAGTAATTGTTTACATGACACACATTAACCTGTGAGCTTCTCTTGAGCAAGTATTTAATGTTATGAACACAAAATATACTTTCAAGGAAACTCGTTTGATAATGTACAAATATGGTATTAGATATATGCATTAAAAGATAACTTCAGAAGTCTTCTGACTTTACCACTGTAAAAGAAATGAACATTGCTCTGAGCTTTTCATGGTGAAAGAAAAAAGAAAAACAAAGCTTTCAGCACACAGGAAGCTTCCAGTGCTAACCTGCCTTGGCTACTTCTGGCTTCTTTTCGAATCAGGAGGAGGGTCTGCTCTAGCCCTTTCCCTTAACGGCTCCCCCCTTGGAGATGCCCCGGTGGTGGGTAGTGGGCTGCTGCCTCCGCTTCGGGACACCCCTCTTCAGAGACACCTGCTGGTGGGAGGGAGAGGGCCCGCTGTCACTGTTGCTGCACAGGCGCTAGGAGGGTCGGCGGTTTCCACACTGAGTATGAGCCACGGAAACAAGAAGGTGGCTTCAGTCCTACGTGAAACCCGACTCCCAGAGGAACGCAAGCCTTCGAGGGACGGAAGCCTCTCCATCTGGTTTAAGGAAAGCTGGTTTTCATCTAGCTTAGCTAGACTTCCTGCAGAAAATCCAAGTGACTGGCACCCGAGTGCTGCCTGGTGCTACGAACATGCAGTAGGAAGGAAAGCGGAGGCTAGAGCTGAAGGCTGCTGAGCGGTCAATGTTGGAACTGTGCAAGTGACCACCTAGCAGACAGTCTGCTGCAGACCCTCGAATGAGTTCCCAAGCCAGGCTGGAGCCCCAGGTCTGCTTGTCTTAGAGGGAGCAGCAGCGGAAGCCAGCCAGGACTTGCATGGTGTCACCTCATTCTCCCTGAGTGTCTGTCCCATGAATGTGTCACTAAGAACACACTCATTTCCCAAGTTTTAGGAAAGAAACAGGCAAAAAGAATAAGATATCTAGTTTGCTTCGATTCGATTCGTATTTAAATTCCACGGATGCTAAAACAAGAAATAGATACTGCTTCAGTGATAACAGTCCAGCTGGCGGCGTGGATCAAACACAGGCTCCCTTCCCCACCTCCTCCTTCCCCGTTACCTACAAACCTCAGGGTTTTCATCCGCCCAGGACTCTTGGCCAGGAGGTCAGAAGTCATTGTCACTCTCATCCAGGGGCTCGGGTTTCCGGACCCTGTGGCTGGGCTTTGCCGGTGACAGAGCAATGCTCTCGTCTTCTAAATCATCGTCATCTTCCTCGTCATCTTCCATGTCGATTTCACTGTCCTCTGAGTCTTCCTGTAGGGAGAGGACAGCACGTACAGCCAGGCCCCTCTCATTATTGCCACCTTGCCCCCGTAGCCGGCCTTGCTTCTCCCTAGGAGCGCAGGAGAGGCACGAGGACACGCGGCAGCAGCGCGGGAAGCGGCAGCCAGGCTGGGGCACGGGCTGGCCAGCGCCCTCGCTGCAGGCAGGACACGCACGTGCGACGCCCCGCCTCCCCCGTGGCCTCGGACACCTGTGCACAGCCAAGCTGCCGCCCCGGCTGGCTCCCCCCCGGGCC